AATGTGTCCTTGCTGATAAGAAAAGCACACGCGATAGCGAGTAATTATGTTCCACATATCTGAAAATTCGAGTTTCACGTCTTGTATTGTCTGCATATTTGATTCCAAACATGGCCGCCACCAGCAGGGGGCGCTGTTGGCAGTGGTTTGGTTTGGTTTGGACTGAATGGGCTCAAATGTTTTGAAGTTTTCTAACGGATCAAAGTGTGTCTTAGATGGAACCAAAAAGCGGGATGTTGTTGTTAATTATGTTGTTCTTGTGAAAATGAAAAAATGTAAGTGTTATTTAGTTTTTTTAACAGTGTTTTCTTAATTAATTTTCAATAAGTATACAAAAACAAGTTGACAGGTTCTACACAACTTGCTAAGTAAAGAGCAGGCAAACCTCTCTGCATACACATATACAAAACAAAATAAAATAGTAATTGATTTAAATGAATTTAAATAAAAAATTAAACTTAATTTGAAAAAAAATAAAAAATTCAGAGTATGTACATAAAACAATAACTATTATTACAATTACAAATAATAATCTAGAAATAAAATGAATTAACCAAACAAATAAATAAAACTATTACACTCAATAGCCTTAAAAATAAAACAAATAAAAAACGCTCGTACTACAACTCCCATAATGCCCTGCTGCTGTTCAGGACCGAGAAACTCCTCTGTGACAGTAGCTACACACTAAATGTTTTAAAATTTTATTTCATAAATGAATGCCATTGATGTGTTTTTTATTTGAAATTTGATTTTACATGTCTCCAATATTAAGTTATATATAATGTGATAAGTGTTGCTTGTTCCATATTCAATGTTAAAACAAACATTTGTTTTGTTCCATATTAAAAGGTTCATTTCAGGTTTTAAATTTTGGCCCACTGTGTTTTTGAGTTTGACTCCAATGATCTAAAAAGTCTAAACAGTTTACCACGAATAAGGAAACTTTACAGTTCAACAAAGTCATTTTTTAAATGATAAAACAATACAATGTTGTGGAGGCAAAATATGTTTATGTTTCTGCATTTAACAGATTATTTTATCCAAAGCAACTTACAAAGTAATTAAAATAATAAATTAATAATAATAATAAAAAACAATAATAACAATAATAACAATAATAATAATAATAATAATAATCATAATATAATAAAAATAAATAAATAAATAAATAAAATAGAAGCACAATCAATAAGTGGTCGCAAAAAAGTCACTGTCACTTATTTTAGACCTATATATATATACATATAGCTACTTATGTATATATTATTCATATTCTGTGTGGAATTTTGTATATATATATATATATATGTATATGTATATGCTGTTGTTTTATGCCCTGGGGGGTCACAGACCTCCGTTCTAAACATTTTGGGGTCTTCTGAGGTTTCCCGGTTTGATGGGATATATATATTTGTTGTTATATATTTGATGGGATATGTATATATATGTATATGTATATATATGTATGTATATATGTATGTATGTATATATATATATATATATATATATATATGTATAGACATGTATATATGTATATGCTGTTGTTTGTTGATGGGACTTTGGGAGTAAACTATCCTGGAGAAACAGCCTCTGCCTCCCGCTGTGTTTTGGAATTTGACATGTGACATGAGCCCGTGCTTTTCTTATCGTCTATCGCAGTGTTTTTCAACCTTTTTTGAGCCAAGGTACATTTTTTCATTGAAAAAATCACACCAACCAAAAATGTCAAACAAATCTGTAGTATCTATAGTAACACTATAGTTATTCTTATCTTATCTTAAGTGTCTTGAATAGGAATCAATTAAACACAAAAATGTATTTCTATCATATTTTATATTTCTTCTTTCAAATTGTACTTAACATGTCCAAAATTATATGCAAAATCTAGTCATAATGAATTATTACATGATTACACCACCAGTCACTAGAACAGCACAGACACTCAAAATGGAATATTATTTGCAGATAATTAATATTATATATATATAGCTACTTATGTATAT